ATTAGTAGCTTGGGATACTTGTTGCCGAGTTCGCAGATTGTGTTTCCTGATAGGATCCTGGACTTGAGAGCCCGTGATGTAGATTATTCAGAGAGTATTAGTTCACGGAAGCCCTGAAAGATAGGTTGTTCTAGAGATGGAATACATGAATGCGTCTAATGGAATGGCACCACTGTGTGTACTCAGCCGCACTTTTTCGTAGTGAACTGAAGTTGCCAAGTGCTTGACCACTTACACCATTGATCAAGATGACTTTGTACTAATGCCTTGACTGAGGTCGATCATCACACTCAAATGTACTTGCGACCTCAAGCGTATTAGTGAACCAAAATGATTTCCTGCGTGTAAAGCAGATGCAGAAGTCGTTAACATAAATTCTGAGATGATGATCTGGTACGGTGCCTTCAGCCAAGCCAGAGGTAGCTGTCACAGGTTTTGGAAGGTGTAAGCTTAGTTTTGGTTACTGACGGGAGATTTAGTCCTTGCTAACAATGGGCAGTTGCTTCCCTAAAACTACGACCTATTCACTAAAGAAAACTGTTTAATGCCCCTTAGTACATTTGGAATGCCAAGGTAAACTCAAGGAACAGTTAGTGCCGGTAGCGCATGGCGGTAGTGAAGCTGAAGAAGACAAGGAGACAAGCTGTGTGGCGTCTAGGGCTTAAGAATCCGTGTCGACAGAACCTGGCAGTGCTGCTACCTAGGACGTGTTGAAGAAAGGTTTCCCCAGTAATTTTCTCCGGTTCCAGACACCACATGAATAGTATTTACTGATTTATGGTCAATCTCTTGGGTCCTTTAGCCTCGTATAGGTCTAGTCAGGATAGATGGTACTCAGGGGCCCCGAAAGATTTCAAGGACATAGAGGGCATATCAGGGCATAATGATGAAATATCGGGTCCGCTACACTTTTTAAAGTGAGGTACTGTTCAATCCATTCCAGTCCTACAGCGACACTGCGTTTTACAAGACGTGATTGATGTCAGCACATGTAAACGCAACGGCGATTGTCGGTGTTAGTGTAAACGGAGAAGCTTTCACAATGCAGACTGTATTTGTATCATGGGAAGGGGTTGTGCGTAATAAATAACCAACTGAAAATATGTTGCACAGCATTTTACCTATATCCGTAGGGGCAGGTGCCGTGCATAGGAAATGGGATGTTTTATTCAACTCAGGTAAATGGTTTCTTTTAGAGTCTAGGGAGGACACATACTCCAGAAGAACTAGTTACCCCAGTAGCCTCCCGACCCTTCACCTCCAAATCACGGTTACACGAGGTCGGAGTGATAACATTGGGGATCTACCAGGGTCGTAATTTTCGTAGCATGTCGCCGGAAGTTCACGAAACTCTCGTAAGGGAACTAAGAAGTACAAGTGACTCAATGGGCCAAAGCGAATTCTCAAAACCACTCGGTGGGACAGCAGTGCCCAGCTTGGTGCTGATATTTAAGTATGTTTCAGAGTAACTTCAGGCCAGCGGTAGTGAGCTGCATGCCCAAACCGCACAAATGAGCTCATTCCTCCTTTTCATAATCGCTACATACTACTTGTTGGAACGTGAAAGTTTTGACTGAAGCTTTGGCTGAAGGAGGTGGTAGACACATCCAGTCAGTGTTGTGACATTCTTGTAGTATATGGTGACTAATAATCTTATCGAGAACCGCTTTTCCAGCTCTAACACGTTGAGATGACTCAGGAAACACCCTTCTCGCTTTTCTGACCACACTGGAGGTTTGTGTGAATATCAGCAGTGACACGAAACCAAGGTTTAGCAATAATTATTACAGGTATGAATATCAGTGCGATTCCTTGCAATGCTGGCAGTGTATTGCGAATTTTAGCTTCTCACAAATCTTACTGCAAGCGCCATAGCCTCTTGGAATCCCCAGCATATACATTTATGAAGGAAGACTTCGAGGCTAACAAACACTGATTTTGCAACTTATTGCGACGAAACCGAAAGAATTCTGTGTCTAAGGAAAAATTACGGCTTGAAGTACAATTCGAGATGCAGGAACTCTCAGTTGAAATATCTTGCCGGAAAGAGTGATTTGAGGGTGTGAAACACTGAAACCCTATGTGCTGTGCAACCATCTAAGTAATAATGTCGAATATTCTGAGAGTCAGGATGTTGCTTATCCCCTTTCTACTTGGATGACTTACTTCCCTTGTTGAAAGATTTTCTAATTACAGCCAAAATAGCATCATTTGTGTACCAAATCTTACTGCAAGCGCCATAGCCTCTTGGAATCCCCAGCATATACATTTATGAAGGAAGACTTCGAGGCTAACAAACACTGATTTTGCAACTTATTGCGACGAAACCGAAAGAATTCTGTGTCTAAGGAAAAATTACGGCTTGAAGTACAATTCGAGATGCAGGAACTCTCAGTTGAAATATCTTGCCGGAAAGAGTGATTTGAGGGTGTGAAACACTGAAACCCTATGTGCTGTGCAACCATCTAAGTAATAATGTCGAATATTCTGAGAGTCAGGATGTTGCTTATCCCCTTTCTACTTGGATGACTTACTTCCCTTGTTGAAAGATTTTCTAATTACAGCCAAAATAGCATCATTTGTGTACCATTAGATAAGTTTAAACATCCTATATGACGCTACTACAGTTTTTAGTGATAACGTTCATAAGGATTATTTAATATCTTTACTTTATTGGACATCCAGTATTCCAAGTTTCAAAATTGTACGTTACGTAAGGTTTTTTAAGGTTTGTCTGAGCTACGTTTATAACCATCTATATCTACTCATTGCTGTTAACACAGATGTTTTGATGAAACCTTTACTTAGTGTTATTTGGTGTATTATACATTATTGGTCACTTATGATCGTTTTTGTGAACGTGTGTAGCTGCGACCTAGGCGTTAAGCACCATAATACTGGAGGGACTTATCTTTACTCTTTTTTTCTACATTCGTTTACTCTTTCTGTTGGATTGATACCAGCCTACTATGATGTATTTCTCGATCTCATGTCTTGAGGAGAAAGTTTGCTATGTTCGAGTGCTACGTTGCTGCGTGCCCCACGCGACACTTTAGTCAACATCTTCGCGGGACAAAACTCGGAACCAAAATCAAAATATAGGGCGAAACGGAGCTAAAAATACTGTAGAGCTTGGAGGAAGGTTGGAAAAACCAATTCTCAAATGCAGATTTCCTCCATAGCCCTTCATTTTGCCCGGCGAAAATCTTGACGCACGCCCGCATGCGTGAATATTACGGAAAATGCATGAATCAATCGAAAAATGTGGAAGTCCGTGTTTAATAAACACAGCTTTTTTACTACCGCTTCATTATAGAGCGACATATTGAACTGCATTCGCCCATTTTTTTCCGCATTTATGTTTGGGGTTTTAATCTTGTTAGTTGTTGCATCGCTAATCAGATGGTCTTGCGAAACAGTTTTCTGGACTTGAGGGTCAGTTGAGAAAGCTGTTGCGTCATCAGAAAATCAAAACTATTTTCTAAGTTTTAGTCGTCAGTTAATCTTGTTTTAGGGGTTTTGATTCGATGAAGACACTATATATCTTCTGGTGTAAGATTATGGACCATTTATTGCACTTATTTAAAGGGGTAGGTAGTTGCTGTGATCAAAAATCTCAGTCGTATAGTGATAGTGTTTTTAAACAGTGACATTTGCATTTTGAACTAGACAAATATCTGGCTTCCCAAGCTAATGTAGTCCTTTTTAAAAGCAGTCCCAAACATAAGGATAGAATTTAATTTCTGTCAGTAACCTATGGTCTGGTTGAGTAAGGTTGTCTTACATTAATTGGCTCACTTATTTGTGCTAAACTAAAGGATAGTCATAAGCAGTTCCTATTTTTAGTCCACTTATTGGGATTTAAGGTCATGAGTCATGTGTCGATCATAATAAACGTTTCCATGAAGACCAAGTTTCTTCTTGGACTCATTTACTGAAAGTGCTACTACCGCTTGTTCTGGTGACAAGATGGAGTTGTTGCTTATCGTAGGAGAAACTGATTTTTCCAAGTCTCGTGGTTTGTGAGCTTACTTGATTTCAGCCTAAAAAGTAACCAACCAGAAACGAAAGGAAAATATCAGACATGTGAATGACAGGATGGTCACTGCGGATCTTGGATGCTGTTATCGTACCAAAAAAAATCGGGAGGGCATTTGTCACTCAAAGTATTCATTTTGTTTGTTGAATAAACTAATGGCGAGCATATTATCTTCCTTAGTGTGTGAACATTGTTTTCAGAGTAGAAGCCAGTTTTTTGGTGGTTTTGTAACACTGACTAATAGTGTATCCTGAGAAAGTTGAAAATCACTCTAATCAGTGTAAAAGAAAAGCGGAGGGCGGAACTTTTTGTTTACTGTTGTCTTCGAAGCATTTCTGTCTTCTAGTCAAACCACAGAGCAAGTACTTTATATTGGGTGTAGAATACTGTGTAAAAGAGATAAGCCTACTATAGTTTTCCAACTAGTCAGCACCATTAAAACATTATATATGTGTCATCAACTGCTTCTGCTTGGGCCGTGGTGGTATTGGAAGCTGAGTGCTGAAGTAAGTGCAAAAGCACTTTTGCTGGGTTTCTAGATGGATAGTCACCATCAACTTCAACACTTAGCTGGAGCATGATAAGAAAGTCTTCAGTGAGGCTAAACCGAAATGTATTCGATTCATTAATCAAGTAGTTAGGCGTAAATACCATGCTTTACTTTTACCCTCAACACTGGTCCATACTTATTGTATTAGAACTTAAGTTACTATGCAGTTGAATAAAATTTAATGAGTGAAGTGAGTGCCTACTACTTAAAATTAGCATATCGACCACAGCTTCGCACTGACCTATTTGGTTTATAAGCAGTGGTGGTTGCATATACCGAAAGTTTGGAATGATAGTCAATTAGAAGAATAAATAGGGCTATTTATGGTGTGACATGGCTGTAATTAGCACATAATTAGTGTGACGCGTGACGTAGTAAGTGAACTTGCCATTTTTCATTCTTTATCACTGATGAGAACTAGGTAATCAATTAACCGAGTGCACTCTATTTATGACTATCCCTAAACTGAATAGTAATCAAGGTTGACGAATTAATCATGCCATATCGTGTTATATCATTTGATCAAATATTAGCTTTCTCATATGGAATAAATGGAACTCAAAACTGAGTAGAAATCATACGACTGGAAAAAATGCTTAGGGGATTGAAAAAGTGAAGGTCACAAGACAGCCAACACGTTAATAACTTGGAGGCTAGGCCAAAAAGGTAAGTTAGCTGATAAAGTTGTTAACCTTCATCGACAGTTATCAAAAAAGAATAACACCCAGAAAAAAACCTGGAACCATTTCCATTCTGCTGTAAAAGCAGCATCAAAGACCTATTTAACTTTCAAAAAACGGTGAGAAAAGACAATTGAATGTGAACAGCTTCTGAATCAACAGGTGGGCGTGAATGCATTCCTACAGACTTCTAGAGCAATAAGGAGCGAAAGCAACTCAAATGTATGTTGACAAGAAGTCTACTCAATGGCATAAAGAAAGGCACTGTCTGACCTGGCGTCCACCGAGCTCAACTCACAGATGGACACAGATAGACCACATTGCTATTAGTCATCACTGGAGATGGTCGATGGAAGACTGCCGCTCCTTCTGGAGTACGTGTTTGGACAGCGATCATGTGTTGGTCCGAGCACGTATATGCTTGCGTCTCAATGGACGTAGAAAAAATTTGGCAGCAAAACCACTACGAGTGCTGCTGGAAAACGGAAACACCAAAGCCGTGTTCACTGAAAAGTTGGCTAGGCAGTTATCGGAACAAAATACTGTCACTCATCCAAAAGCTTGGTGCCTTCTTCAGTCTGCTGTAAAAGCAGCGCTGGAGACTGTAACCGACTCCAAAATAATGGCTAAAAAGAGCCAGTGGATGTCAGCAGCTTCTTCCGAACTAATGGATGCACGTGAACGCCTCCCTGCAGGCTCTGAGTACAATGAAGAGCGAGCGCAAATTAAAAGTAGACTGATGAAAAGTCTGCGCAACGATCGCGAACAGTGGTGGGCGGCGAAGGCTAAACAGATGGAAAAGGCAGCGGCGATCGGTAACAGTAGACAGTTATTTAGACTTATTAAGGAGACTGGGGGGAAAAGATCAACAACAGTTAGTGAGGCTATAGCGGAGAAGGACGGATCTGCGATTCACTCGCAGGGGAGACGACTGGGACGATGGGCAGAACATTTCGAGGAGCAGTTTAACTTGCCTCCAGCCACGATTGCGCTGCCCGCTATCCAGTCGGATCCTGAATGGGACATAGAGACAGGCCCCCCAACACTAGAAGAAGTTGAGAAAGCGGTAGGTAACCTGAAACGAGGAAGGGCAGCAGGACCAGACGGACTACCTGCTGAGGTATACAAGAATGGTGGTAGAATGCTCTTAGTCAGGTTAACGGTAGTGTTAGCCAGTATATGGGAATCAAATACGATCCTCTCCGACTGGTCTAAGTCACTCATTGTCTTAGTCTTCAAGAAATCATCCTGACGAACATAGTGTCTAAGATCCTAGGTTCTATAATTCTTCGACGCCTGAGTGGAGCTCGGGAACAGCAAGCCCGAGAAAACCAGGCAGGCTTTAGACCTGGCCGTGGATGTATCGACCAAATATTCACACTGCGCCAGGTCCTGGAACATAGGCATGCTTACAGACGCCCGACAATAGCTGTATTTCTCGACCTGAAGGCGGCATTTGACTCCGTTGATCGAGAAGTCTTATGGCAATGTCTGTCACTGAAAGGCGTGCCTAGTAAGTACATCACCTTATTGAAAGCTCTCTACTCGAACACTTGTGGGCATGTTAGAGCCTATGGTGAGTTGTCCAGGGAGCTATACTCATCAAGTGGTGTCCGTCAAGGATGCCCACTATCCCCATTCTTATTTAATTTTATCATAGATATTCTTATGGAGGTTTCCCTCTCGTCACCTAATTACACAGACGTTGACCCGATCACAGGTGAATTTTCCTTAGATCTAGAATATGCAGATGACATAGTCCTGTTAGGTGAAGACGCTGACAAGATGCAGAGTCTTCTGAACACTTTGAGTGGGAATTTGAGAATGTTTGGGATGCGATTTTCACCACCCAAATGCAAATTTTTGCTCCAGGACTGGTCTTCAGCGGTACCGCGGTTAACAATAGAGAGTGAAGTGGTTGAGTGTGTTGACCACTTCACTTACCTGGGAAGTAGGATCAACCCGGTGGGTTAGTTGCCGATGAGATTTCTGCACGGATACAAAAGGCTCGATTGGCTTTTGCCAATTTGCGCCACCTATGGCGCCGCCGTGATATTCGTTTGTCTATTAAGGGTCGCGTGTACTGCACAGCAGTCCGCTCTGTTCTACTGTATGGCTGTGAAACATGGCCATTGAAAGTGGAAGATATAAAAAGGCTTCAGGTGTTTGACCACCGTTGCCTTCGTAGTATAGGACGTATTCCGTGGTGTCACCATGTGAGTAATGCAGAAGTTAGGTGTAGAGTTTTGGGGAGAAGAGGTAAGTCAGTTGACGAGGTTGTGAACCTTCATCGACTGAGATGGTTGGGACACGTACTGCGTATGCCTAGTCACCGATTGCCTCGTCACACAATGTTGGCTGAAGTGGGTCCAGGCTGGAAAAAGGCTCGAGGTGGCCAGACTAAAACATGGCACCAATGTATGAAGTCTCTGACTGTTGGTTTAAGCCATGTAGGACGATGCAGACTAGGTGGTTGGGGTCCACGGGACAAGAGGAACCAGTGGTTGGAGACCCTAGGTGATATGGCTCAGAACCGATGTCAGTGGTGCAGATGTAAACACACATTATCCTCATCTTAACTACACTATACCGAATCTCACCATTTTGTCACTCCTCTTTCCTTTCTTCTCGTACTTTATATTTCTTTTGACTGCATTCACTTATCTTCATCCTTCACCTCACTACCTTTCTACTTGATGAACTGACGTGAGGTGTGGCAACTCGGACCGTTACGCAGTAATGCCTGGTCCTATGTTGATAATGATTGATTGATTGATTTTACTCAATGACTGTGAGCATCGGTGGGTATCGAAAGCCAAATAAGTGAAAAAGGAGGCAACGATAGGTGACAAAAGATAGCTATTTATACTTGCCAGAAAAACTGGTGCAACAAGGTCGGTGGTTAGTGAGGCTATAACGGACAAGAATAAGTGTACGAATTCCTCGCAGAGGCGACGACTGGAGCGATGGGTACGACAGGTAGACTGGATTTTAGGTAATTAATCGTCGTCTACTATCAAATCGGACTCCGGATGAAACGTTGAGATAAAGTTTCGAACACTGTATGCAACTTGAAATGATGAAGAGCAGCGGGATACTAGGCTAGAGATCCTATAATTTTTGCAAGCGATACTTGTTGTTCAGTTTGGCATAGATATCGAACGTTGAAGAATTCAAGGTGAGATCGACAGTAGGGTCCTAGGAAAATAAGAATGAAGTTTCAATGGCTTTGATCGTTGGTAATGGTCGCAAAATGAGACGCTGAGGAAGGTTTAGGAGGCTTAATGTTGGTGTCAAGAGGTGAAGGCAAAGGAGAAGAGAGAGTTGAAGACGATAAATTAAGTTTTGATAAGGTTTTTTGCACTACTTGGAGCGTCCGATTAGTGATAATTGCCAGCTGCTTACACCGTGTAAGGCTATTTCTTCATAAAGTACCTGAAAGAGAAAAAGATTTGTGTGACCCATGGGAATCTGCTTGAGATGCATCTCACAGCCTTTTGAGGACTGTTGGCTTGAGGTTTTTGTTGCTGCAGTATCAGCGTGGTACTACTGATTATTCGCGAGAAACACCTTGCTGCTGTGACACCTCGTCTGGCTAACAGTACGGCTTCGCCTTCACTTCCTTATCATAGTGTGACGATTTACCCTACAATGATGATTGCTTTTTGTCTCACCACTGTCCAATCGAACTTTCTGGCATGGTAGGACTTTAAGGAAAGAGGCGTTTTAGTCAATGTAGCTCGTTTGTTCATTGTGATTTACAGGCCTGACCATGACGTCAAGGTAGCAGCCATTGGTCGGGATGCCTTAAATACGGTACCACTGCGTAATGCCAGGCTTTTGTTCGTATTTACTGCCAACACCATCCAAGCTTAGAGGTGGGTTGGATTGTATTTCTCAGCACTGCTATATCTATGGAATGGATTCCCTAGTTAGCACATATGTTTTTGAATTTTCATTCAAAGTTGTTTTCAAAAAAGACGAGCTTACAGCAGCCAGTGGTCAGTATCATTGTATGCTAGTAAGATAAATGTAATATGTTGACTTTTAATCAGCCATAAACATTCCAAGTGAATGTATCCTGTATTTAAAAGTGGCTACGGTGTAACTGTATAAATTTGTAACATCTCGCAATTATGTGCAGTGGAATTTGGTCTACGATGTTGCATGAAGACTAGCATAACTTGAACTGTGCTCAATGGTTGAAAGTTGATTCATTAGATTATTGAATCACAGCTCCTCCTATTTTAAAATGATTGAATTTCTAGAATTCTATTCGTAACCTTATTCGATTAAATTCTTTAGTCTTTTTTTCTCCTTGTTTTTGGTATATAGATGGAGGCAGATAACGACATAAATAACCATTACAGCGATGTGTGTGATTCTTTCGATCGTATGAATTTGAAGGAGAATCTTCTGCGTGGAATATTTGCCTATGGATTCGAAAAACCTTCAGCCATTCAGCAAAGAGCTATCCTTCCATCTATCGAGGGGCGTAATGTTATAGCTCAGGCCCAGTCTGGCACTGGTAAAACAGCAACATTTAGTATTGCAATCCTACAACAAATCTGTACTACAGATCCTCGTTGCCAAGCTTTGGTACTGGCACCAACTAGAGAACTAGCAAAACAGATTCAAATGGTAAATTTTTCTGCTTTAGCTCAACAATTTTTTGAACTTACAAACATAAAATTTATGAATAGGTAGGAGGATCAGTGTAAGATTTTTCTTATCAATGCATCAGTTCATGTTGCCCAATTTCCCAACAGAAAGTGAATTGGAGAAAAATATTGAATTAAACTAAAGTTTATTTCAGTCGAGAGAATAAATAAATACTCAGAATTTAGGTGATATAAGGTGCACATTTCTGTACAGTGAGAATGATTTTAGATGGTAGTGTCAAGTTTCTCCAACCTTTGATTCCAAACATTTCGACGACTCTCCGTCGGATGGCTTACATCTCTATAGGGAACTCAGAACAACAACCAGAAACTTCATGAATTTTTGCAAGATTTAATTCTGACTACTCATTGGCTTTTTCTCTATCAACTTGTCTTGGGTATTGTCCTACATCAAGGTAGGCAGCGACTCGGTACGTAGAAGTATTACGGGCTACTTAAGTCTTTGCAGGTTTTTAACTTGATAGAGTAACGTGTCTTCTTTACCTATTGCTGTACATTGAAACTCAAAGTTACTCTCTTCATCGTTCCACTGCATGTGAACAATACGATGGTAACATTGATGATCGAAAACCTTCAGGCTTTTTGCTTTCAGTGGTCATCTCTCAGTCATAAACTTCAAAAGTGCGGAGTGCTGTGCATTATACTTGTCCTTTGACTGTCAGATATCTTGTTGACACACAATGGTGACGTAATTTAGCAGATGTTGAACAGGCATTTTGTAACGTAGCTAGATTTTATCACTAACCAACTTATTAAAGGTGATGCAACTTCTAAATATATCCGGAGGTCAATGGATTACGTCACATCACTTCTCATCGTTAAAATAGGATTCGATGCCTTCCAATATATTCGTTTGACGGGCGTGTCAAGGGTGTGCCAAACATATTTAGGTTTCCATTCAAAGCGTTCAGAAAAATCTGCATTTTATCAACGTTTTCGCCTAGCAAGACTATATCGTTTGCATGGACCAAACCATGAGAAGTCTAAAATGTATAGTTACATCCATCATTCAGTCTGTAATAAAGTTAAACAACAATAGCGACAGTGAATATCTTTGGTGAACACCACTGGTTGTCACAGGCTCAATTAGCAACATTAACCGATGCAACTCATTGCCTTATTCTGCATTGATTTTTCTGTCTGTCAGTCACTGACTAGCTACAGGAGTTCAGCTATAGAGCCTTGTTTAGGCCATGTACTTACTTGATACTGGTTTCAAAATGATATACTACCAAAACAGTTCTTGCTCGTGGATGTCGGGTCAAGAAATATCAAAAGTCGAATTGAAACGCACTCAGCAACCTAGTGAACGTTTGTGTAGTAGGCAGTGAACTGCATCTGTTGTATGAGAGCCAACGATACTGTCTGGTTGTCTAAATCACGATAGAGGGAGCGGTGTTCTAACCTGTGGCCTGCTGGTTGAAGTTAAACTACCTAAACCAGTAAGCCACAGCTCGTTGATTTAAGTACTTAGTTTCCAGTCAGTGGGTCAGTTTCGAGCATCTCTCCATCTACCGAGATCTGGGTGGCCAGATAGTATCAACAGACCTCACACATAGGTATGGCTCATTGTCTCAAGAAATGTAGCGAGTGTCTGTTACAGGTAGGTGTGCTTGTGTTCTAAAGCCTATCGAAAAGTAAAAGTCTAATCGATGCACCGTTGTTGATATCTAAAATCCACCTTGATTCTAGAGTTTGTTGTTCTCGAGCTCCACGTAAGTTATAGTCTAGGGTATCAAATGTAATTTCATGTTAAATAATCTCTTTTGTTATGCACATGTAGGGTTTTCTTTTCGCATAAACTGGAATCTTCAATGACTTTAACCGGACTAGTGGAAGTGCATATAATTCCCTCTATGAACTGAAGCGTAAAAAGAAAAGTGATAGCAACGTAATAATATGGATCTGTTTTGTATCATTGTGTCATCAACTGCTTACAGTTTGAAACATAACAAAAGAAAAGAAGTTGAATATACTTTATCCAATTAAATGAAATCGGTTAACGGGAAGCGAAGCAGTTAAGTGAAGAGTTCAGATATTCGAGTATATCTAGCTTACTTGACAGAAGTTTGAAGAAAACTTATATGAATACTTACAAGATGTTATCACATCGCAAATAAGAGATTGTGTTATAATCTGAACTAAGTTCAGTCGCCGGAAATCCTTATCAGTACATACAGAAAACACAGAAATACTCTATGACAAGATTGTCATCAAATAGAAGGACGAATAGAGAATTATGATACGAGTGTAAAGAGAGATCGATGAATGTTTCTTTTGAACACGCCATTCCAGTCTCAAGTGTTCGATAGCCTCAGTGAACGTCATAAGCTTTGAATCATTCTGTTTTCTGATCATCTTGAAAGATTTCTAGGTATTTTTATATCCCTTGTATCCTTGTGCTTGTGTTCTAAGACCTGATGAGGGATGAAGATTTGGTTGATACATTCACGAACAAGTTTGAAACTTGCCTGATTTTCTTGAGTTTTTTGTACGCGAGACTCACCTAGGCATCTAATGATTATGGAACCTAGAATTTTAGATACAACATTCATTAGACTGATTCCCCTGTAGTTATCAAACAAGGGTTTTTCTGCTTTTTTATGGCCTGGGACAATCATTGATTCAGATCAGTCAGGAAGTATAACATCTGATCGATTCTTTGAAAACATTAACCTCTATTTTCAAATTTGGAATAAGTAATTTCTTTGGTTTAATGAAATGTAATACGTTGGAGGTATGTTTACGCGAACTCACAGATTTTTTAAGTTGTCAAGGAAAGCTGTACCTAGACTATGCATCCATCGTGAAACCCTCAGTTGAGTGATTACTAATCTGAATGTATACGTTGAGAAGGTGTTCTCCTCATTTTCCGATAGACATGCATTTATATAACTTGTAAACGCGTTAAACTCTGTCATTCGATTCATAGAATTATGCTTAATATCATTTCGTTCATTCAGTCCCAAGGAAATTTATACTTTTCAAGAGATTTACACTCATTTAGTGCTGTAGTATACGACTTCAATGAAGTGTTCGGACCACTGGTGATCTTTTCATAGGACTAGGTTATGTAAATGAATTTTGAAGTCGCTGATAAGTACCGTTTACGCGTCTATGGAGCTGTGGTTCAGTGGTTTAGGGAAATAACTACAAACCATTGGGTCATAGGTTCAAGCCCCACCCCACCTACCAAGGTTTGGACAGCCAGTTAGTATCATCACTAACCCTCAAGCGATAGGTGTGGCTCATTGCCTACTGCATAGATATGCACAGGGCTGCTGGGCGCGTTTCGTTTCGTTTACGAGTCTTGTCATTTACTTTGAACTGTTACACCTGGGTACTAGAGAGTATGATATTAATCATTATCAGTTGTTTGATTTTTGCGCACAAATTAGCATATCTACCTCCATTATACCTTCAAACGAAACCTCATAGAGGTGTGGTAGCCAGATAGGTCGCGTTCTTTTCTTGTCGTCTGTAAAACGTCCAATAGAAAACGCCAAACAAATTGATAGTGATGCCTACACTCTTGGCTACTCACCTTTTTAGTCAGTTCCAGATTCTTTCTTTTCACTTCCTTTTTTGTGCTGTCACGAGCAGGAAAGCTTGTTCCTTCTGATATCATAGGTGTGTGGCTTATAGTCCTTGGGAAATGTAACTGTATTTAGTTGAATTTCTCTATTTGTTGATGTGTTTCACACAAAACATTTCAAGTAGCAGATCAGTGGTTTCCACTTGTCTCTGTCGATCGCATTGGTCGAAAGGTTATAGAATAACCCTTTGTGTATGTGTACGGGTGCACTGTTCTTTTCACGTAAGCGGTTTTACCAGTTGACCCTAATATTATTGAATCGTTTACAATCTTATGAGTACTTTAAACGATGACATCCACTGTGTTCTATTTACTAAAAAAAACACCGGTTAAGTATCACAAAATGAAACTGGCTTAAAAATGAATCTATTAAATCCTCAAGAAAATGAAGGATTTCAAGTAACAGAAAAGGGAAACATAATTCTTTAATACTTACTTTTGATTTTTTTTTTTTGAGGTATTGTTCACAAGACAGTGAATAGACAAATGTTTTCTTCCCTTCCATTTGAGTAAATTGGTTTTTGTGTTTTGAATGAGATGAGGTGGGGGTGGGAGGGTGGGGGGGTTGTCGATTTATTTTAGACAGTGATTTTTTTCACCATATAGGTAAGTTTTTATATAATCCCAGCGTGTTTAGAAAATCGAAAACAAGATTTTTCTGAACGTTTCGCTGTGCATACTACAGCTTATTCAGCAGAATATTTTCATTAGGAACTTAAAAGCTGTGCTTTTAATCCTAATGGAAGATTAAAGTGATATGCCATTGAAGGTAGATAAAACAACTATTCACCTCTTCATTATCTTGCTCTTGGTGAAAATCATGGTCACTTGAAAATGGAATGCCTTTGCGTACTCTTTTAAGGCTAAACTTATCAGTAATATAACGTATTGACACAGTTTACTCTCTTTGCTTCACGATATGTTAATTTCGATTGGAAAATTGATTTTTTATATTTTTTATTGAGTGTTTCATTCTCTGCACAAGTTATAAATGGATGCCAATGAGCATTTAACTTGTTTTGAGCTAAACTAATTATTCAAAGAGCTAGTAATACTAATTAACTTTCGAAACTTCGGTAGATGGACTCTGACTTGTTGAAAGTTGAGTGCATAAACTAAACAGTAATGAATAACTGCATAGTTACAAATTCACTCAACATACTTAAATTTCAACAACCATTTATCATCGATTTGAAGATCGCTAGAGTTACCAGTACGTATTTATATGCCTGTTGAGTCACAGTTAGTTTTCATTTTTTGAGATCATACTTTCCTTCATCTACTTTTATCTATGTTAATTGTTTTTTATTCGCAAAATATTATTTATAGATATTCAAGAGATGGTAATAATCACATGAGTTAAA